TGAATATGTACGCCTTCCGGGCTTGGACCTTCCTTGCCTTGGCATGGGCCTTTATGAACGAATTTGCAAGCATTTCAAAAGATGCAATTGAATGTTGCGGTAAGAGTGAATACCATGTTAGGGCCCCCTTTGTGAGGGTTTCACCAAAATTCTTTATCAAGACCGATTCAATCTCATGTTGAGCCAGATAGTTCCCCTTTACAACCATAGTGTAGGTTGTGATGTGCTCCTACAGATCCGAAGTCCCACCGTATTTTGGTATGTCTGGAATTTTGAACATTTTCAGAATTGACTCCGGTGCTGCGCTCGGTTTAAGCGGCAACTGAGTGTATTTTTCAAATCTGAGCCTTTCAAAGCTGGTGGGGAACTCAGAATCTGATCCATTCGGGCGTGAAATTTCATTTTATCATAAATCTCATGAGCTCGGTTTTGAAGGAGTCATTCCCGTTATCGTTGCCAGATCTGGTACCGCTCCCCCTATTATTGTCGAAACTGACCTCACCCGGTGGTGTATTGTTATCAACTCTTTGAGCCGTTTGATTTGCAGGAACGCCGAGAGGAACCGGGCCCCTTTCGTTTGCGTTGTGGAAGTGCCTGACAACGCTTGTTTCAACTCCGTCATTACCTGATCCTGCCTTGAGAGGTGGCCCATGATTTCTTTCTGTTGCTCTCTTAGTATTCTCACTGTTTCTGCAACATGTTCCTCTTCCATGTCATCGAGGGTTGGCTCCTGTACATGTCGTGGGTACTCCCTACACGAACTCGGGTTGCCTCATCCCGTTCGTTATAGGAGTCGCTGATTGAATCCCCATTTTGAGGTAGATTTTCGTGTCCGCCAACATTGCCTGCGATGTTGACATTATTAGCTGCCATTTTTGATTTCTTGAAAAATTCAAACAAGTTAGTAACAAACGTGAGGATCAAAGCAATTACATAACTATCTAAGCCCCACGATGGGCGCCAAATTGTTTACCCGTAAAATGGTACATTTGAATTTGTTACGTGGTTTATAGACAAGCAAACGTATTTTATCCAAAAATAGTAAATAAATTAGATTAAAAGTAATACTTAGCGATTAGAATTGAGGAAGATGACAATCTTGGCTCCGAGAACAGCGTCTTCGAGGACAAAAACGAGAATAATATAAAAAAACAAATAAGATTGTTTAATTGAGAGCAAAAATGAAATACAACATATGTTTTTCCAAGAATTTATTGCCCTACAATGGCTACTAAGACTGCTATTTATTACTATACTCAGGGAAATAAGATCCTAGGATTAAGCCCTACTTAAATGACAATAAAGGAGCCATTGATGAATATGAAACGACAAGCCTTGAATACAAATATTCTCTAGCTGCCCATTTAATGCTAAAGAATATTCTTTATCGAATTCTATCCGATAACAAATATTCGATCTTCCCTTGTTGACCATGTTCCCTTCGAGGTCTATCCGATGTCAGTTGTAGCTGTCGTCCCCAGTATTGGTTGTTAATTGATTTGCCTTTTGACTACCTTCATTTCTACGTTTCATGCTATCATTCGACCATTTATTATAAACCAATTTTATCCCATACACAACGGGTCTCAAGATCGCCACCTCAGCAACTTTTGCCTCCAATATCAGGAGACGCACAACAACTTGGTCCCTTTCGGCCAACAGTTCATCTCATTTGAAGGCAAGTACTTGCTTATCGAGAATCAATTTCTGCAGGCCCTCGGATGCAAGGAAGTTGGCCTATAAAAATAATATCAAGGAGGAAATCCCGTTACAACAGAAGAGTAGAAAACAAATGATAAGAAAGCAAGTACAGTAGCGCTGCCGCATTATACATTGCATTATTCTACAAAAACTCCCCCGAAAGGGAACGTACTTTCTTCCTATCTTTCTCTAAAGCTAGCGTCTTCAGGTAGTTGGCAAGATCCACCGGCCCGGACAGTAGATGGCACTCATTCGAAACCGAAAGAGTATCACTCCTCCTCCCTCGGGGATCTGGGGAAGGGGGTGAGTAATTGTGCCTAAAATTCCCATGGTCGGGAGACCGGGGAGGAGAAGCATTCCTCTCTTGAGCATCTATTGCCGGTGGAGAAGACACAGTAGGCGCTGGTGGCAAAGGTGCATCTGTGTAGAGGGGCGTGAAGTTGTTGGCATTGAAGGTTGAGAAGTAGCTGCAACAAGAGCAACGCTGATTATTGGTTGCTCAATGTTCGAAGGCAGTAGAGGCCCGGGGTTCAAGCTCCTTGCATTGGGGACAACAACGGGAGTTGGAAAGCGAGAATCGACATCCTCCACATATCCATCTCCTCCCAAATTGCTTAGACCTCATCTGAGGTCGGGTTTTGAAGCTCTCCCGGTTGAGCTGATGAAGTTGTTTTTCTTCTTTGGTGGGAGCCACTTCATCACTGGCTTCTCCATCTTCCACAACAACTACTGTGATTGGCTCGATTGTTGTGGTCTTTATTTTCTTATTTTTATCCCCAGCCGAGGAAGAATGTTGCCTTTTTGGTTGCATGTTCTCTGGCTGGGGACTCCGAGAGGCATTATTTCGAGCAAGGGCACTTTGTAGCACCCTCGCAGCCTCCTCGGTCAGCTAAAACATCAACCTCGGGGCAGGTGACAGACCCCTATGTAAGTCCTGAATAAGGCAAAACATGGAGTTAGCAAAATTACCTATGTTCATAACAAAGGCAACAGGAAAGAGGGCTTGGTTTACCATGTTTCTTGGCCTTCCACTCATATTTGGGGGCCATTTCCTTCCACCGGCAGGATTCTGGTGTTGTAATATCCAGAATCTTCTGAACTTACTGTTCCAAACCTTGAACTCTTGGTGGCTCCCATCAGGTAGCTGAAACAACGGAAACAAGGAGGTCAACAATAACGGTTAATGGTCTTTTTACGAAGGAAAAAGATGAAAAATAACAAATTACAAAAACGGTTCCACGATTCAGGAAAGGACGGAGCTACGGCCGGGATGATATCCCTGGTAGCAATGATGACAAACCGCTCCATCCATCTACAGTCACTTTCATCATCCACGCTGGTAAGAAGGGCGTGGTGGCCACATTTGCTGAAATTTATTACTCCCCCACAGAAAATTTTGGGGGATATTCATCATGTGTGCCAGGTTAGGGTTTCCCCAATCTCTGTGCATAACTAGCGTAGGCAAGCCACAGCTCGCCATATAGATGGCCTACTTGTGCCAAACAGACCTGGTACCGGTGGCAAAACTCTAAAATCACGTGGTCAATCCCTTCACTCGTTCCCAAGGAAAATGGACTCAAGGTGTATGGATACGTATAAGCATACGTAAAATCTTTCTTGGTGAAGGTAACCAGCTCTATCATATCCGTGGTAAGGATGACAAGGTTTAAACAATTGTAGTCCTCCCTCACAGCAGGAATACTGGAAGGGCGAATGGAGGATGGGTACCTCCTAACGGCCCAAGTCCGTGGAGACGTGGATGAAGCTTCTCTTGGAAATCATTGATGGTACTCAGGTGTTTTGGTATGATGGTGTTTACAGTGGGAGGCTCAGAATCAACATCAACTTCTTTGTCTTTGTTTCTCTTCGGGCCTCCACCGAAGAGAAGATCAGAGTTTCTAAAAGATGCAGTAGAAGAGCCATGATAATAAGAGGGCAGTAAAATTTTTAGGGAGGATGGAAGTTTTCTAAGCATGAGGAGATTGAATGCAGAAGAGAAGATAAACTTATGGAAATTTTGGAGGTGGAAGAGGTAAAATGATAAGTATAAGTTAAGATATAGACGGCAAAAATCATGGTCATGATTACCTCGAGAACCGGCGAAAATATTATTGAATTGTGGGGCAACACGTGTTCGGGGTATTAAATGCGAAAAAAGTGCGTCCTTTCAAGCGTCAGAGACTGTTCAGGAGATTTCCCGCTAAGAAAGGGATCTTCACCAACTTCCCGGTGATATCACGATATGTCACCGGAAAGCAGAGGGACTATATGTGTGGGGGTAAAATTGGTTTATAATAAATAGTCGGATAAAGCTAACACGTGGAACCGAAGGCACGCAAAAGGCGAATCAATTAACAACCAGTACCGGGGACGACGACTACAACTGACATCGGATAGACCTCGAAGGGAACATGGTCAATAAGAGCAGATCTTATATTTGTTATCGGATAGAATTCGATGAAGAATATTCTTTAACATTAAATGGACAGCCGTTGCAGAAAATATTTGTATTCATGGCCTGCCGTTGCATATTCTTTGCTGGCTCCTTTATTGTCATTTGAATAGGGCTTGATCCTAGAATCTTGTTTCCCTATGTATAGTTATAATAGCAGTCTTAGTAGCCATTGTAGGGCACAAAATTGTTGGTAAACCATATGCTATATTTCATTTTTGCTCTCAACTAAACAATCTTATTTGCTTTTTTATATTATTCTCGTTTCTGTCCTCTGAGACGCTGTTCTCGGAGCCAGGCTTGTCATTTTCCTCAATGCTAATTACTAAGTCTTACTTTTAATCTTAATTATTTATTATTTTTGAATCAAATCAGTTTGCTTGTCTATAAACCACATATCAAATTTAACTGTACTGTTTAACGGGTAAACAACAACCTAATTACCGAGATTCTTATCACCCACAAGTTGTTTAAGGTTATTTCAGCTAAACAACAACAAAAAGCAACATAACCCTTTTTTTAAGAACTCATTGCTCTCATCTTGTTCCTCTTATTTCCACTCACAGTTTAAATAACTAGGGGAAAAAGAAAGAAAGAGGAAGATGATAAACAAAAAAGATAGAGTTAGAAATTTCCTAATTTAGTTGTTTATTTGAAAGCCCCAATTTATTTATTTATAATATAGTCTTCCTTTCATCTTATCAGCTTTTAAAATTTGCCACATAAAAATTTAGTACCAAAAAAAAAGAAGAAAAAATTAGTCAAGGAGTCTCCACCCGAATGGAAATGCCGTTAGGTTGGGTAAAAGCGTAAATAAACGTACATAAATACGGATGGACACATCCACAAACTCCAAGAACAGCGAGAGCACAAATTCAAAAAAAGAAGCTTTATTTTATTTTTGAAAACAAATCCCCCCTACCCCCCAATCACTTTTCCCTCTTCTCATCTCACTCCCAACGATCAAATGCGATTCACTGAACCCTAACGCACACAACTTCACTCTTTGCTCCTCCAAATCTCTCTCCAATGCAGGATTTCATAGGCTCCGTTCGCCGATCTCTGGTTTTCAAGCAGTCCGGAGACTTTGATACCGGCGCTGGCGGTGTCGGCAGTGGATTCGGAGGCTTCGTTGAGAAACTAGGTTCGAGCATTCGCAAATCGAGTATTGGAATCTTCTCGAAAGCTCATGTTCCTGCCCTTCCGTCTATCTCTAAAGCTGAGCTGCCCGCGAAGGCTCGGAAAGATGATACTCCGCCAATCCGGTGGAGAAAAGGTGAAATGATTGGATGTGGTGCTTTTGGTAGGGTTTATATGGGGATGAATGTTGATTCCGGAGAGTTACTCGCTATAAAGGAGGTGAATTTTTCGTTATTTTGCTATTTCAGTTGTTTAGTAATGTTGTTCATATAATAATTTTCGATTTTTAAAGAGACTTGTGATTTTTGCTGTAATTTGATTATTTTTTGTCTGGTTTTCTTCAATTGCAGGTTTCGATTGCGATGAATGGTGCTTCAAGAGAGCGAGCACAAGTAAGCGGATTTTATTTAGCTGATTGCTTCATTTATTCACCTAGATTGATCAATTTTCTTAAAAGATAAATTGTTTTACCAGTGTATAGAGGATTCTTATAAATGACTTTAGTTAATTTGGGATTGAGTAGTAGCAGCAGCAGTTGTTTACTATGATCAATTTGCCTCCTAAAGGACCAAAATGTGTTTAGTTCTATGCCAAGGTTCCTAGTTTTTTCTTTTCTTTTGTCTTTCAGTTAGCTGATCTGTATTTGTAATTAACAGGCTCATGTTAGAGAGCTTGAGGAAGAAGTGAATCTATTGAAGAATCTCTCCCATTCCAACATAGTGGTGAGCGCAATTCTGTTGTATATTGAATATTATAAGGTTGTGGATAGAGTTCTTCTGACTGTGCTTTTTTTTCCTCAGAGATATTTGGGAACTGCAAGAGAGGCAGGATCATTAAATATATTGTTGGAATTTGTTCCTGGTGGCTCAATCTCGTCACTTTTGGGAAAATTTGGATCCTTCCCTGAATCTGTAAGTGCTGTCAGCTTTAGGAAAACGTTAAGTACTGGTGTTTTTGTTTTTTCTCACTACATTTTCGAGAAACTATCTGTTGCCACTTCTACCTCTTCTTATTTGTCGCAATGGACTTAATTTTCTGCAACTGCCAACTGAAATTTGCTTGTCAGCACAGACCGTGGCTTCCTAACCTTCTTAATCTCATTATGGGTGCTGAATCAGGTTATAAGAATGTACACCAAGCAATTGTTATTAGGGTTGGAATACTTGCATAAGAATGGAATTATGCACAGAGATATTAAGGTAGCTTTTTTCTCCAACTATTCTCATGAGATTTAGCTCGTTTTCCTGCATGCTCTCTCCATGGCTCTTTTTATTTGGTGAAATATCTTTTTCATTTAGGGAGCAAACATACTTGTTGACAATAAAGGTTGCATTAAACTTGCTGATTTCGGTGCATCCAAGAAGGTTGTTGAATTGGTATGGACTTTTTTGGCATCTTTGTCTTATTATTTTGGTATTTGTTGGTTGGAGTATTCTTTTATAGCTGACTCTTGACTGCTTCAGGCTACTATGACTGGTGCCAAGTCAATGAAGGGTACTCCATACTGGATGGCTCCCGAAGTCATTCTGCAGACTGGCCATAGCTTGTGAGTAGAGTTATTTCATATATAATCTCCAAGTTGTGGTGTGTGGACTGTTGAGAGGACCGTCTGTAATCTTGTAGTATATAGTTTTTTCAACTGGTTACTTGTACACCCACAGAGCAGTGCCCTCATGTGTCAATATATACATATGGTGGGAATCGTAGCTTCAGAGTAGAGAACCTAAGTAGGATTGAATTGGTACTCAGATGATTGGATTGTTGAACAATCTGATCCTAGCGAAAACTAATACAAACACATTCGACCTATTTTTCCTTAACTAGTTAGTATTAATGAATTAAATCCAGTTTAATTTTGTCAAAATAATGTTGAGAAAAATTATTCACTCCAAATAAATGTTGCAGAGACAAATTTGCAATTGATTTCTCATATAGCACATGAATTATCACCAGCAGAATACGTCAGTTAAATTCACCCGTTCTCCTCTATTGTTAATAGCATCAATGTTTATTTTCCCAAATTGCAGTAGTAGGGAAATTTTGCAAAAAACAGATGGTAATGCATGACCCTCTTCACAACACTGGAAAGAAATATTGAGATCCTTCAACAAAATAATCATCTTTTGTGTCGTTACGAAATTTTTACTTTACCTTGTAACTCAAAATTGATAAAATTCAAGTTTACAGTACAAATTTAAATTTCTCCTTTAGTGCCCAAATGTCCTAGTGTCTGGAGAAGCACTTTGTCTCCTGAAACAATGCCTTTTATTCTGAATGGGTGTTTGGTCCCTTTCCTGCTCTGCACATCCCTACATTTTTTCAATTCTGACAAAATTGCGTTCTACTAAACATGATAGCTCTGCTGACATATGGAGTGTCGGATGCACTATTATCGAAATGGCTACTGGAAAACCTCCTTGGAGCCAGCAGTATCAGGAGGTAGGCATGGGTTTCGATTAACTTTTATTAATTACATTGTGACTTGACATAAAAATTTCAATATTATTGTTACCTTCGTGCCTGACACATTACTATTTCAGGTTGCTGCTCTCTTCCATATAGGGACAACCAAATCCCATCCTCCCATCCCAGAGCATCTTTCTGCTGAAGCAAAGGACTTCCTATTAAAATGTTTGCAGAAGTATGTCTGAATTTTCTGCTTGACTTCCCCCTACTGCCACCTTATCAGTAAGAGGGTGTTTGGCTAAGCTTATAAGCTGGTCAAACTGGCTTATAAGCACTTTTTGGCTTATCTACGCGTTTGGTAAAATTAAAAGTGCTTATAAGTGCTTATAAGCCAAAAATAAGCCAAAAGCCATAAGTTGGTCTCCCCCAACTTATCAGATTTCAACTTATAAGCACTTTAGGTTTGACCAAAATATTTCCTATTGTATCCCTAAAATACTTCGTTTTAAAACAAAACTCTTCGTATACTCGGTTCTTCAACTGCTTATTATTAATTTCAGCACTTTTATCCAAACACGCAACTGCTTATTTTTTAAATCAGCTTCAACACTTTAAAGTGCTTTTTAGCACCTAATGTTTATCAGCTACTCTAAATCAGCTAACCCAAACGGGCTATAATTCCCTATCTAAACTTTATGCGTTCCCTTTCTTGGGGAAATTCCTAGAGAATTCGACATAAAGCTGGATTATTTCCATGGCAGCATATGCAAAGAGATGCTCAAGTTATTAATTATTACCTGTCTTCCTTCGTGTCCTTATTATTGCTTTTTGACTTGATGTTCTGGCAGGGAACCGCACCTGAGGCATTCTGCATCAAATTTGCTTCAGGTATTCATGAAATTGGTCCTTCAATTCTGAATTTTTGTTGGATTGACATTATCTGTGGTTTGTTGGGGTGACTGAGGCTTAATATATTACTAGCATGTATAAAAGTGACTTGTGGAAAGCCTACTGGTTAGCAACAGTACAAAACATCTTGTCATTGATGGAACCTTTGTCTTTGGTAACTGTGTGCAGCATCCATTTGTTACAGGAGAACATCAGGAAGCTCGCCCTTTTCTTCGCTCATCCTTTATGGTTAGAGATTGTATAAACTTTTCCATCATTCTGTAATCCTCATCATACTTCCGTTAAAACAAAGTTTAATATGACAATCAACAGGGAAACCCCGAAAACATGGCAGCACAAAGGATGGATGTTAGGACCTCGTAAGCATTTATTTTTCCTATCTTTGGATATCTGAAGGTTATTTTCATCACTCACGGACTCTATCTTAATAAAAGCTAAGGATCTTATGATGCTGCAGAATCATTCCTGATATGAGAGCTTCCTGCAATGGTTTGAAAGATGTTTGTGGTGTTAGCACTGTGAGGTGCTCCACTGTATATCCCGAGAATTCCTTAGGGAAAGAGTCACTCTGGAAACTAGGAAACTCTGATGATGACATGTGCCAGATGGATAATGATGATTTTATGTTTGGTGCATCTGTGAAATGCAGTTCAGATTTGCATTCTCCTGCTAATTATAAGGTGCAGTTTCCTTTTGTCATTATGTATAGAATTTGTTATTATGAATGAGAAAACAAAATGTACATCTTCTTTTGTTTTTGAATGTAGAGTTTTAACCCTATGTGTGAACCTGATAATGATTGGCCATGCAAATTTGATGAAAGTCCCGAGTTGACGAAAAGTCAAGCAAACCTGCAATATGGTCAAGCAACTATTAAGCCCACTAATAGTCCCATCATGTCCAACAAGGAGGATCTTGCTTTCACATTTCCAAGTGGGCAATCTGCAGCCGAGGATGATGATGAATTGACTGAGTCTAAAATTAGGGCATTCCTTGATGAAAAGGTAGCTATTCACCAGTGTGTGAAATTTTCATACGGTATCACCAACCATATGTTATCACAGACTTGAATTTTGTTGATAAGATAATGTAAATCACTACTTGAACATGCTCCTCCTTATAGTGCAACCAACCATAATGTTATCTCAGTTAAATTTCTAAACTTGTGAGGCCCCTTAGTGGAATTCCAGTCTTATCTCTATTTATTGGTAAACTGATGTAGGCAATGGACTTGAAGAAGCTGCAAACACCACTATATGAAGGATTCTACAATTCCTTGAATGTTTCCAGCACACCGAGTCCTGTTGGCATTGGGAACAAGGAAAATGTTCCAAGTAACATAAACTTACCACCAAAAAGCAGGTCACCAAAACGTATGCTTAGCAGAAGGCTCTCTACTGCCATTGAAGGTGCTTGTGCTCCCAGCCCAGTGACTCATTCCAAGCGAATATCAAATATTGGTGGCCTAAATGTTGAAGCTATTCAGGAAGCTCAGTTGCCGAGGCATAATGAATGGAAAGATCTTCTTGGTTCTCAACGTGAAGCAGTTAATTCAAGGTAGATAATGCATTTGTGCTATTCTTCCTTGACAAAATTCAGTTTCTTCGTGTATTAAGACTGAATTATCTGCTATTTTTGCAAGCTTCTCTGAGAGGCAAAGAAGGTGGAAAGAAGAGCTTGATGAAGAGTTGCAAAGGAAACGAGGCAAGTTGGACCCTTTGTTTCTTGGTTAAGATTTATAACCAAATTAATTTTGACGAGTATTGCTCGAGGATTTTTTCTTAAGTCCATATATGTTGAAGCTTCCCCCATTCAGCTGATTTTTGACTTCTTTTAGCTTTATTGTTCCAAATCTCAAAATGTAGAATATATTATTGACTATAGTAGAATTTAAGAGAATAAAGTCTGAATAAAACATCAAATTAGAGTAAAACAGTGTAGAAAATGAAAAGGTGAACGGGTGGCATCAGATATAGTAAATTAATAATTAATTTGGATAAGAGACACTTGTCAAAAAAAAAGATGGAATGGAGATAATAATACTAGGAGTGCATGTATTTGCCGGTTTCTTATTTCTTTTTCTAAGTCATAGTTTGTTTGCTATTCATTAGAGATTTCAGACTTCTAACTCTTCAATTGCTTCATTGAGTTGTATTAGCTAGGACATCGTGTGTTCAATACAGTCCGATTTGCAAGTTGCTTTTTGTATCTCAACTTGTAGAAAGTTTCAGATTGACTCGATCACAACCGCAAGGGTCGTCAATATTCCTTTCACACATCCTTTTGACAATGTCTTTGTAAAACTTTGGTAGGAATATGTTGAGTGGACATGGTTCTAATTTGAGAAGTGAAAAAATGGAAGAGTTGTGCGTATGCAGGAGCACTAATGTAATTGCATTATTTTGGTAGGAATAGATGATTAATACTCCCTCTGTTTCACTTTATATGGCATATTCTTTGACCACAAACATTCCGTATATATTTTCATTAAATGTCTTAAATTTAAAAAAAATTAAGTTATACTTCCTCTTGTCCCATTTTATGTGACACACTTTCTTTTTAATTTGTGCCAAAATAGTAACATCTTTATCTTTTTGGACACTATCTAATCTCAGCATCCCCATTTTACTACATGCATTGTTGGGATCCTCACTTCTACTTATTTAAAATGAAAAGACATGTGAAACTCTCACCACTACTTATTTAATATGGTACTTTGGTACTTTGCATATAGTCGGCTTACATGTCAAAAGTCTTCTTTAATTTATTAAACTCCATGGCTAGTCAAATACTATCACATGGGATGGAGGGAGTAGTATTTTTGACCTACTGTTAATTTTATTTTCAGAAAGATAAAAAATAAAAATTAATGTCGGAATTGAGACCGACAGTTAGAAGGTTGACCCTCTGCTTCGAACCCTTTTCAGGTACCTTTATTCCTTGCAAAACCCATCTTATAGCCTATTCGGCCAAGCTTCTCCAAACATAGAAACACTTTTTTTTAATTAAAAAAAGTGCTTTTTTTTTCAAATTTGAAGTGTTTGGCTAAGCTTTTGGAAGAAAAAAAAAGTATTTTTGAGGAGAAGCAAAAAAAAGTAGCTTCTCCCCAGAAGCACCTTTTTGAAAAGCACTTTTGAGAAAAATACACTTAGAAGCACTTTTTAAAAGGTTGACCAAACTTTTAAAATTTGGTCAGTGATTAGAAGCTATTTATATACAGTGATTTTAGAAGCTTGTACAATCCTATTTATATACAGTGATTACATAATAGTAGGTATCTACTTCCCGATGTGGGACACTATACATGACTAACTACTTAACACTCCCCCTCAAGCCGGTGCATATAAATCATATGTACCCAACTTGTTACAGATGTAACAAATACGAGAACCAGTAAGAGACTTAGTGAAAATATGTGCTAGCTGATCACTCGACTTTACAAACTTTGTGACAATATCTCCTGAGAGTATCTTTTCTTTGACAAAGTGACAGTCGATCTCAATGTGTTTAGTCCTCTCATGGAACATCGGATTTGACGCAATATGAAGAGCAGCTTGATTATCACACACCAGTTCCATCTTGCTGATTTCTCCAAACTTCAACTCCTTGAGCAACTATCTGACCCAAACTAGCTCACACGTTGCCATAGCCATGGCCCGATATTCGGTTTCGACGCTAGATCGAGCAACTACATTCTGTTTCTTGCTCTTCCAAGAGACCAAATTACCTCCTACTAGAACACAATATCCAGACGTAGAACATCTATCAGAAGGTCATCCTGCCCAATCAGCATCTGCGTACCCAACAATCTTCTCGTGGCCTCGATCCTCGAATAGTAACCATTTGCCTGGAGTTGACTTTATATACCGAAGAATGCGAACAACTGCATCCCAGTGACTATCACAGGGATAATCTATAAACTGACTCACAACACTCAGCGGAAAAGAAATGTCAGGTCTAGTCACTGTGAGGTTATTCAATTTGCCAACCAACCTCCTATATCTCGTAGGATCTCTAAGAGGCTCCCCATGTCCAGGTAGAAGCTTAGCATTCGGATCCATAAGAGTGTCAACAGGTCTGCAACCCATCATTCCAGTCTCCTCAAGAATATTTAAGGCATACTTCCGTTGTGAAATAACAATACCTGAGCTAGACTGAGCGACCTCAATACCTAGATTTAGGAGCAGAATACACAGATTAGGAGCAGAATGCCGATAAAACATAGAGTGATCATCACATAAACCACCAGATAAATACACAGATTAGGAGCAGAATGCCGATAAAACATAGAGTGATCAGCTTCACTACGAGTCATGCCGAACTCCTGAATAACTGTGCAGAACTTACCAAACCAAGCTCGAGGGGACTGTTTCAAACCATATAATGACCTGCACAATCGGCATACAAGACCACTAGACTCCCCCCTGAGCAACAAAACCAGGTGGTTGCTCCATATAAACTTCTTCCTCAAGATCACCGTGGAGAAAAGCATTTTAATGTCTAACTGATAAAGAGGCCAATGACGTACAACAACCATGGACAAAAAGAGACATACATATACTACTTTAGCCATCGGAGAGAAAGTGTTACTATAATCAAGCCCAAAAATCTGAGTGTAACCTTTTGCAACAAGACGAGCCTTAAGCCGATCAACCTGGCTATCCTGGCCGACTTTGGCCGCATAAACCCAACGACAACCAATAGTAGACTTGCCTGAAGAAAGAGGAACAAGCTCCCAAGTGTCACTCGCATGTAAAGCAGACATCTCCTCAATCATAGCATGTCGCCTTTCTGGATGAGATAGTGCCTCACCTGTAGACTTAGGGATAGAAACAGTGGACAAAGATGATATAAAAGCATAATGAGGTGATGACAGACGGTGATAACTTAAACCGACATAATGGGGATTAGGATTAAGTGTGGATCGTACACCTTTGCGGAGTGCAATTGGTTGACTAAGAGGAGACAAGTCCACAGTAGGTGCACAATCTGATGTAGGACGTGAATCACCTGGGCCTGATGCTGGACGTGGACAATGATGATAAGCCAAGAGTGGTGGAGCTGCAAAAGGTTGAACTGGACTAGGTGGTGGAATTAGAGCTATACATGGTGGAACTGGAACTGGAGCTGTAGGTGGTGGAGCTGGAACTGGAGCTGTAGGTGGTGGAGCTGAAGTTGTAGAGAAAGATGAATGGGAGATAGTGATGGAATCTCCAAAAGATAAAACTGGTAGCACCTCAGAAATATCCAAGTGATTACCTGGACCTGTGAAGTATTATTGAGTTTCAAAGAAGGTAACATCAGCGGACATAAGGTACCATCGGAGGTCAGGAAAATGGCATCGATACCCTTTTTGCGTTCTTGTGTAACCCAGAAATATGCACTTAAGAGCACGAGGAGCTAACTTATCTTTTCTTGGAGTAAGGTTATGAACAAAACACGTGCTTCCAAAGACACGAGGTGAAAGAGAGAACAAAGGTAAGCGGGGAAATAGGATAGAGAATGGAACTTGATTCTGGATAGCTGAAGATGGCATACGATTAATAGATAGCAAGATGTAAGAACTTCATCCCCCCAAAATGCAACGGAACATGAGATTTGTATGAGTAGGGTACGAGCAGTTTCAATAAGATGTCTATTCTTTCTTTCAGCTACCCCATTTTGTTGAGATGCGTACGAACAAGATGTTTGATGAATAATCCCATGAGACTTCATAAACTGCTAAAATGGGGAAGACAAATACTCTAGGGCATTATCACTGCAAAATGTGCGAATAGAAACCCCAAATTGATTTTGAATTTCAGCGTGGAAGGTCTAAAAAATAGAAAACAACTCAGGCCGATTTCTTATCAAAAATATCCAAGTGCACCTGGAATAATCATCAATGAAACTGACATAGTAGCGGAATCCCAAGGTAGAACTGACTCGACTAGGATTCAAAACATCTGAATGGACTAAAGTGAAAGGTGAGTCAAGACGCCAAGGGAAATGGGAGCGGTAATGCTTACCGAGATGACATGACTCACACTCTAAAGGGGATAAGTGAGATAAACCAGGTACCATTTTCTAAAGTTTTGACAAATTAGGATATCCCAACTGTTTATGTAATAAATCTGGTGAATCGGTAACAAGACAAGTTATTGAAGGAAGACAAGATGTGAGTCCATGTGATTTTGCAAGGATAAGGTAATAAAGTCCATCTGATTCACGCCCGGTACCAATGATCCACCCTGTATTGCGTTCCTGTATAAAAACAAGGTCATCAAGAAATAAAACAACGCATTTAAGTGATTTGCTAAGCGACTAACTGCTATGAGATTAAAAGGACTATTGGGAACATAAAGAACTGAATCTAAAGGTAAGGAAGGAAGTGGGCTTGCTTGACCTATTCCAGTTGCCATGGTTTGAGATTTGTTGGCCATTGTGACTGTTGGAAAAGATTGAGAATATGAAATAGTAGTGAAAAGAGATATGTTACCAGAAATATGATCAGATGCACTTGAATCAATGACCCAAGACTCAAAGGTTGAAGATTGGGAGACACAAGTCACACTACTATCTGTTTGAATAACAGAAGCTATCCCTGAAGATGTTTGTTTACATGCTTTGTACTGAAGGAACTCAATATAATCTGTTAAAGAAACCATCTGGATTGGATTCAATGAATTGGATCCAATGGATTGTGAGTTAAAGGCTTCTGATACGAATGGCATTATAATGTTGCGCCGAAAAAGCAAAATAAACAAATTCTGGAAATTATTGTTCATGCTGGAAAAATCACTGTTCATGCCGGAAAAATATAAAAGTGGTCGGAATTTGATTTAAATTGGATGGGTATGCTCGGATTTGCATGGAGAAGACACTGCCCTGAAGGAGTTTTTCCAAATTCTGGCCGGAAACTGCCTCATGTGCCGGCTCGTGGGCGTCGGAACTTCGCCGGAGAAATTCTATCGGCGGCGCGTGGGTGCGCGTGCAGCCTTTTCTGTCGGAGATTTTTTAATGGGTTGGTCGTCGAGCTCTATTCTACTTTCTGGTGGTGTTAGTTTTTGCACAACACTGACAGATAGTATGGTTCTTGCGGACAAACCTATTTTTGTCGGAAAAAGGGTTTTCGGTTGACTGTTTTCTCTTCCCGGAGTCGCTGGAATTTATGCACAACAATAAATTTCTTACGGTTGCTCTGATACCATGTGGGAAAGCACAGGAGAAAATCTTATTCTATTAATTAAAGTGTTGTACAACCCTATTTATATACATGATTACATAATAATAGGTATCTACTTCCCGATGTGAGATATTATACATGACTAACTACTTAACGGAGCGTAATCTGGAAGACGTGACACTAAACAGTTGATATTTCACTTTATCGTAAATTTTCTTCAATTTCTTTGTCCATATATTTGGTATTCATGCTTATAGATATTAGTCTTGGACTATACATATATATTTGTAGTTTTTCTCCATTTGCACCTTTCTCCGTTAAAGCCCACTCTTTATTTGCGCTTTGCGAAAGCCCCAACAAACTTAGAGCTTTTTTGCGCTTTTCGCCTTTGATAACACTGCTTGGGGGAAATTATCTCAAGAAAAGTCTCGTACAGATCTTGTGCATAATACTTGACACCAACTTTGTGTTTATGGAGTAATGAAATTCTTTGACTGATGAAAAAAAAAGAAAAGATTATCTAGGGTGAACTTTTTGAAGGCTTACTGTATTGTACTAATCCAAGTTATTCGCCCAAAATCAACCACAGTTTTCCAAGATCAGCTAAAGATCTATAAGGCTCAATGTCATGCGGAATGACGTGCATGGCTCTGAGCCACTGATTTGTTGAACCTCTTCCGCGTCATTGTATCTTACCATGTACTTCTGTTCCTCCACAGTGATCTGATTAACGGTTGCTATAGGTGATTAAAGTTGTGATAGTCATCTTAACTTCTTTTAATCTTCTCTTATCCTGTACTTCCTGCTGTCCTTACTGATTCAGAAAAGATTGGGAGGAGCAATTAGTAACTTGTAGTTATGTGATTGATAAGCTCCTTGTCATCGGAGTTTTCCATGTTTTATACTCCTATGGGATCTTCATCAAAAAAAAAATGTTTTATACTCCTATGGGATTATATTTGATTTAAACATTGCTGCAATTGGTAACTGGTGACTATAGTCTGGAAATGGTCAAATTCTTTCCGATCTTGCATTAGTATTTCCGAGGAAGTCTAACTCTTATCAATTTAATTATGTTTTTCTGCAAATGCTTTTATGCTATTGTTAAAGGTCTTTTGAGTTAATTCTAGTTGATTTATATGATTTTTTTGTGATGTTGAAAATCTTGTACTGCAGAAATTATGCGTCAGGCAGTCAACTTATCACCACCAAAGGATCCAATTCTAAATCGATGTAGAAGTAAATCAAGGTTTGCATCTCCTGGAAGATAAATGTATGTACTTGTGTCCCTAAACTAAAGTCAGTTTGAAGAATATAATTAATGATCCTGCAACCCCAGAACAGAGAGTTAGATGTCTTGGGCAGGTATACGAACGTGAGGTTTTCTTGACCCGTTACTACAGGAATATCAGCGCCTGTCAGATAGAGTGAGCTGTTACTACAGGAATATCTGTCAACCTGTTAATCATATTATAAAATGTCAATAATTTGCGTTATATTCATTTTGATCATTCTCCTGAGAGCATTGCAAGAAAAATGCAGGCCTTTTTATAACCTCTATAAGTGCTCTCTCATGGTAGTTGCCAATATTAAAACGCAGAGAAAAGTTGAGTTCTCATCTGCTGAATTGTTTGTAAAATGTGATATATTAATGTATTTAGCGTCTTACAACCTATAAATTTGCATCCTGCTGTAGCCTCTTATACTTCTGTTGAATGAATGTTTAAATGTCAATTGCTGGTTCTAAGCACTTTTTTAATCTCTAAAGTCGTAAGTTGCTAATATTGTCTGACTACATGAGTTGCTCGCCGGCAAGCTAAAAGTAATGAATGTGAAAGCATATGAAACTTCACATCATACCGGGAATGCCTGTAGTAGTATTGGACCATTAACATTAAGTCAGATCATCTGTGACTGAGAAATGCATGTTGAAATAGCCGTTCTGATGTTCTAATGCCAGAGCAAGATACAATAATAAAGCAAATTGGACAAGACCTGAAGAAAATAAAATTAGTAATCTTTACAGAATATGGTCAAGATTTAGATGTTCAGTAGATTGTTTTAAATATTGAAAAATGTTGAGGAGACTGCGAAAATGTTCTTATAACAGGTATGTATTAACTTGTGGAGTTATGCTTACTGAAATCTCTATATTGTCAATTGAAATATGTTACTTCCTTTGTCACTATATTGGGGAGTCCAATAATTTCTCCTTAATGATTTTTCTAAACTTTTCAATATTTTTAACCGCTTGTTATTTATTGTATTGTCTACATAGACTGAATATGTGAATTTCTTTAAAAGATTAAGAAATCAATATCTAAAGTCGCATCTGAATTTTTTTTGTCTCAGCAGTTCCTGTGTGGAATAGATAAGTTTATATTCCTAAATTAGTGTGATTAGTTCAAATATTGGAAAGCTTGCTTGCTGAATAGCTAATTTATCCATTGAACTCAAAGAAAATATGGCTGGGAATAGGAGTGGCAAACTGGCGGGTCGCGTCGGATATGGCTCGGCTCGAAAATGAGTAATGAAAAAAATGGATAAATTATCCGACCCGATCCATATTTAATACGGAAAAAAACGGGTTAACCGGCGGATAATATGGTTAACCATATTATCCATGACTTCTTGCACATGATCACTTTTGGGAAAATTCTTAGTCTTCCTAACTTGAGGAACTCCCAATTTGAGGTTTACAAATATAAAAGTTAAACCCATTGGTTACCCATTTTCTAAATGGATAATATGGTTCTTATTCATATTTGACCCATTTTTAAAAAGTTTATTATCCAACCTATTTTTTAGTGGATAATATGGGTGGTTAAGTATTTTCTTTTAACCATTTTGCCACCCCCAAGCTGGGAATGATTTAGATGTATGTGGTGAAGAAGTCAAGGAAAACATAATTCAAGCATTGCTGTTTCCTCTTTCTAAAATCACCTATAAATGTAACTCAAGCGCCGTCCCATGTTTGTTTCCAAAAAAAAAAACTAAAAATGTTTCCAAGTCACCAAACACGATTTAACATGTCTTGGCAAAGATTTACCAATTAAGATAATGAATCAACTCATCAAGATCTTAGCATTCAATATGTTTCCAGACAAAGATCTAACAAAGCATATTTCATGGAGCAAAAGAAAAGGGATTTGATGGGTGAGTAAACAAAGGCTGTTCAGATTTTTTCTTTAGCTTTAAGATAATGATACATTCATGCACAAAAAAGGTAGTCTTCTAGTGATGGAAAAGGCAGCAAGGGGCATAGCTTTGTATGAATTATTTGAGGTTCAGATTTTGTGAAAGATTAAAATGAAAGAAATAATGATAAAGTGCAGAGAGGAAAATTTTGAGATGGATGAGTTGGACATGTTTTTTTACCTCTTTTTGCAAATATAAAGAACCCCCCCCCCCTTTTTTTTTTTTTTGTGGAAAAGACTTAGATTTGGGATGGTCAAAGAAAAATATCTTGGGTTTATGGAGAGATCACAAGAATTGATCATCCTCTTGAAAGTTCACAAGTGGAAGAATATGCTGTGTCTCATTCTTAAGATTTTGGTAATTATATATATTTTATATATAGAAAAGTGGACAATCTTTCATATGATTGAAACCTTGATGCTGTGTGAAACTGCAAGCATCACTAAGCTACAATACCAATCTCGTAGTTTAGGTTATTATTAGGTCCATTTTCATTTTCTTTTATTTTTATGTCACATTTTTTTTCCCAAGAAGATGGTATTATTGTTTAATTTTCTTTACACAAAAGCTGGTCTGCTCCCTATTCTTTCAAATTCAATATTTGAAAACGTATCCTTCTCTTTTGTCCTATAGTTCACCAAAAATGACAAAGGTACTCAAAAAGAAAACGTGTTGTGTGGCTCCAAGAAAGTTGAAACCTAATATTGGATAAGCATTCACTCTAGTGGACACGAATTCGTGAGAGATTTAATCATTATTGCCTTGTCTATTTTCTTATATTGCTACTCAAAGGTAAAAGATTATGAAAGCAATTATTGAGAAGATTTATTCAGGGGACAATCAGCTGATTAATACTTGAGCTGCCATATTATTTGAATGCATTGAAAGTTCTGAACACTTAAAATGGAGGTTCATTTACTTACATGGAGTTCAAAAATCTCCCAGATATGTTTAGTGAAATGTTACAATAGTATGGCATTATATATATAGTTGATTTGTATGGCTATCTCATTTGTAAGTTTAAGTTATTAAAAATGATACATTTTTATTTACTTAATTATATCTCAGCACGCTCCTCACGTGCATGCTTTGATTCGTTTCATGAATCCATGACCTATGTATGCTCTAATATCTATGTTGAATTTGTGACAATATCATCTGATCTTAAATTATGTGAAAGAATATACTTTTATTTATTTAATTGTATCTCAATATACATGGATTTGACTGTCTTTTTGTAACAATTCCATAGACCCACCATTCTATGACGTATTGTTAATTGCTAGGTTACAACGCTAGCGTTTGAACATATATTTTGATTGAAACTTGAAAAGAAAAATTGAAGTTGTGTTAGAAACTAATTTTAAAAAGTTGTTGTGTTTCGACATGCACTTTATTTGAATTTTTTTTAAAAAAAATTTTGTGAGTGGAAGAAAAAATTTTACCCAAAAATTGCCGTAAACTAATTTTTGGGAATTTTATTTTTTCCCAAAAATTAATCATATTCCATGAACAAACATTACTATTATTTTTTTTTTGAAAAAAACTAGCCAAAATCTTTTCGCAAGTATGATACTACTAAACTATTAGCAAACATATAAAAACAAGAAAACAAAATCAAGAATATGAAATAGAGACATAATAATCACATGTGTTGAATGGATGTGGCATCGAAAAAGGGGTGGGTGGGGGGTCAAGCATGGTTGGGGTGGTGGGGTAAGAGGCAAACTCTCAGTAAAAGTATTATCCAAAAGACAAGTTATGAATAAGACAATGCATACATCATCATCTTTCTCAAGGAAAATGATTTAATATGTGCATTAAAAGGTCGTGTGGAGTGTGACTATTGGTGTCTTTAGAATGTAAAATGTGTGCTTTTCATGACAAAGTTTAGAACTCAATAGTGAATAGTGATGCCATTGTTGGGTAGTTAGCCTTAAAACAACAAATCAAATCTTTCATATTGCCATTTGCAGCCTCATTACCTTTATGTTTTTCTTTTTCAAGTGATGGAAAACAAATTACAAGCTATTCAATAGTTTTTCGCCAAGCTTCTTCAATACTAAAAGTATTTTTTTCTTTAAAAAAGTATTTTTGAGGAGAAACAGAATTAGAAAAAAGTAGCTTCTCTCCAAAAGTACTTTTGAGAAAAATACACTTAGAAACACTTTTTAAAAGCTTGGCCAAACATTAATTGTTTTTCAGAAGTGTTTTTCAAATTAATTAGCCTAACGCAAACTGTTTCTCACCAAAATTACTTTTGAAAAAAAACACTTCTTAAGATAAACTGATTTTTGCAGCTTGGCCAAACAGGCTACAAGGGAGTTATGATTGCTGTCTAAGTTATTACAAATCTAACTACAAATAACAAACGCCAAGTGAACGATATTTCTTATTACTTCCATAGAAGAGTCAGTAATTCTTATGAATAATTATAGTTCTTAAGATATGAATCGTTCACAGTGGAAGTGTTTTTGGTGTTCCATCGGTTCGGCAATCGTATTGGGGTCCCGATTAAGTCGAATTTGTGCCATATAAGACTTATTAAAGGGGAAAAACACTTTATTTTCCGAGCTTGAACTTGAGATATGTGGCTAATAATAGAGGGATCGTTGAGTGAAAGTGACAATCATTGATCAACCTCTGCCTCATTGCAAATCAGATGGTATACATCTATGTCTCTTTATGGACTAAAACTTATGTCAGCTTCAACTCTTTAATGGGAAAAATTGCAGCCAATTGAAGAGAGAAGGATTATATTCTATTAATGGGGGTGGGGGGGGGGGGTGGGGGGGGGGGGGGGGAAGGATTATATTCTATTGAACAAAACGTCTCATTGCAATTGGCTTTTTGAGATTTCTTCTTTTTAAGTAAAAAAGAAAGAAGATTGATTATGATCAAAGCCTTTTAGGACCCTTTAGGAAATCGCCACCGACCACATATTTTTGGTTTTAGTACTTCTTTTGTGTTGCTTAGTTAGTAAGTATATATTGTGGTTTGCCTTTTTCTTGGTGAACAATACGTACTGCCTTTTTAGAAAATCCTTATTATTATTATTATTTTTATTATTAAAATAATTGAGGACTTTTTTGGTATGTGGATAAGTCTTAGCTAGTGTGCTGAACACATAAGCTTGTGGAAACTACGTAATCTATTTTTTCAAATCGTCACCAAATGTATATTTTGATTTGTAAAGCAGCCAAATAAATCCACAAGTTCAGTGTGTTAGGAAAGGATTGAGCTTTATTTGAAACAAAAATTATCTGACCACTGACTTAATAAGTCCAACTTAATGAAAACCTATCTTGACCTAAGTTTCCAGCAATTATCTTTTATTGATGTTTATCGTTAAAATCGGATAACAATTAAAGTTGTAAGTGGTTTTAATGATATGCGAATTATTTCGGTACAAAGCGATAAATTAAGTCAATATTGAACAAGCAAAGATAGAATAAATTCAAACCACACGAATAGGATAGTTCCAACCTAG